TCAGATTAGTTTTAGTGCTGGATGGTTAATGCCCTTCCAGAGCTGAGATAAAGACTTGTGATTTGATAATGCTACTGTTGTGGTTTGCCTGTAAATCTGTAACTTCCATTATTAACTTTAGTAAATTTTTATCATCTGGGATAGCTTTTGATGAGTAGGTATTACTGGAGCTTACGATCGGAAGGGAGTATCTTTTCCATTTGACTCTCTTTACTTCAGATGTGTTAGCAGTTGCTGATCTTGGAATCCATATCTGTGAGTATAATAGGGCTAGTATTTTGTTTGCCATCTTGGCATGGCTGGCAATGGGTAGTTGTATGTCTATGCTTAACATTCCACTTGCAAGTTTGTCCGGATTAAACTTTCAGCCAAAGTCTAGTTTTTGCAAATTTCTTTCAATTTCTGTTAGGTTCTTCTTATTGCTGCTTTTTCTTACAAGCTTTGTCAAACTTATTCTTATCTTGTTTTCCATTCTGTTATATACTGCGATATTTTTATAGCAATCGAAAATGTGACTTTGAGTCTCTACTGCTGTGAGGCACCTGGGGCAAAGGCTATCAGTATAGGTACTTGGATATTGATCATATAACAGTTGTCTAGATGGCAGCATTTGGCTCAGCAGTTTGAGTCTGAAGGCTAGTAGAGAAGAGGTGTTTGTTTTATCTCTCTTGGTTAATAGCTTATTTGCCTTGGCTAAAATTTGGAGTGCTGATATTTTCATGCTGGCTTTTCACCTGTTTTTGATTGATGAGCTCTGAGTGATATCGGCGAGTCTGTGTGTCCGCTGAATTATTTTGGTCCAAACAACTGGGCTGTAGCTCTAATTGTTCTTGATTTTTGAACTTGAGATGTAGTTATCTGGCTCCACTAGGTTATCGATCCCTATCTCTTAAATTGTAACGCAGACAAATTTGCCTGCATATTTAAAAATTTAATAATTTTTTAAAAATTTTTAATAAAGTTTTAAATATTAATTTTTATAACTTACTTATATTATAAAAAATATAGTTTAAGAT